GCTCTAAAAAGAAAATCATGACTCTTGGGCTCTTTTAATTACTAAATAATGTGTCTAATAGGTTATGTAATTTCATCTCTGTGCCCCTCACCCCTGCCACCATTCCTGTCACTTATCCCTCATTCTTCATGGGAAGTCCAGCCCCATTACCACCCTGCCTGAGCTGGGCTAAGACCACACAGCCACGTTATGCACCCTTCTTCACTTATCTTGAGGGGTAAGTTTGCCCATCTACTGCCCCCTCTCACCTTCCAGATGCTTCTCCTGTTCTCCCAGAGGCTCTTTCTGAGCTCAGTGAACAAATTCAGCCCCGTGACATTTACCCCCTCTCCTCTAGAGTGCCTCAGCGCAGTTGCACTTTGCCTAACCTTACACAACGAAATCATGGCCAAAAAGAAAAAAGTCACAATACTCCAATTCATCTGCTTCCAGGAGCTCTCTTCAGCAAGCTGACTGTTGAACTAACTGAAGATGCCTGTCTCTCTGTGATGTGTATTCTTGGACTATTGGTCCATCAGAGTCAACTCCTTTGTGCTAGTTGTTTATTAAAAATTGCAGGCAGAGCTGCCAAAAGGCCAACAGCGACATTGAGACATAATTCATCAGCCAGCAACAAAGGGGCTCATGGGAAGAGAAGACAATCAGGGAAAAGAAAGGCCTGTGGATAGACTTGCACTACTTCAAGAACAGTCGGAGTCAGAACAGACCATCACAAGAGTGTTAACTGGGGCACTGACAGGACGGATCTCCTTCCATATCAATTCACAAAGATGCTTATGCCCCAGTTACCATTTGAAACATTTACTTATTTCTTTGGGCTTCTAGATCGGTGACCTAGTTCCCAGTTTGCCTTTGCACATGGGGTAGAGGCTCCACATTCAGAAGCACGGAGCCAGTCCATTTCACTCTGGACAGGAATGGTCTTCAGGACCACACCTGAGTCAGAGTCAGGAGCAGTAGAAAGATGACTTGCCTTTGGGTGTTGGGCACACAATGCAAGATACAGACACGTATCACAGAATTGTACACTTAAAACCTATACAATCTTATTAACAAATGTCAGCCCAATAAATTTAATAAAAAGAAACTATTATTTTTAATAATATTTAATATTAAAATAACACTTTATACTTTTTCCTATAAATTACTTCATAAGATTCTCACACGCCTGTGAGATGGGTAGAGCAGATATCATGTGTCCCATTAATAAGTGATCACTAGGAACTCCAGTGGTGCAATCGGTTAGCGCGGTACTTATAAAACGAGATCACTAATCTATTGCATGTGGGAGCATTTAACACTTAAAGTTTTTGGCAAGTCTTTGGAAACTTATATCAACATTGATGAACCAGTGTTATTCTCCGGGAATGTCAAAGGGTAACTCATATTTTCTCCATAAATTTCCTGGAATCTTGCATGATTTTGGAGTCTAAGTATAATAACTTATATTAAGTGGATCTGTGGCTCAGAAATTGCTGCTGTCACAAATGATATATTACTTCCCCTACTCCAAGAATATAAGACAAGTTACTTCTGTAATTCATAGGGCAAGGCAGAAATCAAGACATACCAAGTACACAGATTAGGTATAAAATAATGTAGCATCATCCCTCTGAAATACAGCGCTATTATGAGAGCCATAGATTCTCTCTTCTACATAGAAATGAGCATGGTGTATGGTCACAATTGGAATTCTACTTGACAGAATACATGGTGCAGAATGAATAAGCATTACTCAGGCAATTCACAAGTATACTCTCAATCCTCTCTTACTGTTCATTATACCAACAGAGTCTTGACTTTTAAGGGAATGCTTGGCAACAGTTAAAGCTGACGCTTTAAAAATGTGAGTTTGGGTATAGATATTGATCTATGGAATAAATATACAATAGCTGGGCCTTCTGTCCTGAATTCTAGAGAAGCATTTGTCTGCTGGTAATCTTATTTGATAAGTCCAGAGGAAAAGAATTCTATCATCTCATTGCTAAATGCAATTCCTGTGAAACTTTCTTATTCCTGAGAGCAAGTCTTTCTTATTCCTGAGAGCAAATGAGGTAAGCGATCTTTTTTATTGAATAGAATGATGGAATAACGTTTTAGAAAAATTATAGGGAATAAGCAGAAAAGCCACATGGGTATGGAAAATCATGAGTTTTTACCACATAACTATAAAATATAAAGGAAACTTCTCTTGGGAATCCCATGGCTCACTTGATTCAACAACAGTGATTTATTTTCATTCAGCCAGGGTTCTAAACTTTGGGAGTATATGGCGTTTTATGACACACGACTCTCAGCATCAGCTGTGACAGAGGAAAATGGCTGTTGATAGAATAGTTTGGACTAAGCTAATGAGATCCTTAGCTGGCAGCATCTAATACCCTCACAGGAAATATTAGGATGGAAGTCAGCCAACAAGCCCATCTTCATTTGCCCTTTCCTTGAGTTGGCACAAGTAGTAGGCACTTCTTTATTTCTCTGAAAAATTAATTTCTTTGAAAAAATCGGAATGGAGTCATTTCACATGACAGCCACGCCTATATTTCAAACTAGGTAAAAGCTTTAAAGTAACTGCCTATCTCACTGGCTTATTCCATCCCATCCTTGTCCTCATTATGTCATCCTGGGTGTTACGTCATGGCTACTGAAGGTGGAGGACCAATCAATAACTGGAGCCATTTGAGAGGGGAGTGCCAGAAAGAAATGACCCACAAGGAAGTCTGGGTCCGTGCAGAGAAGCGTCTCGTATGGCAGATTAGGAATAGGCAATAGCAAGCCACAGAGGATTTCTAATTAGGGGTGCTACAGATTGAATCTTTGTGTCCCCACAAATTCATATGTTAAAATCCTAATCCTCAAGGTGATGGTATTAGGAGGTGGAGCCTTCCAAGGGCGATCAGGTCATATGGTTCCATTCTTCATGAATGGGGTTAATGCCCTTGTGAAATAGACCAAGAAAGCTCGTTTGCCCCTTCCTCCATGTGAGATTCCAGAAGACAGGCGGCCCTCAGTGAGGAAGTGGGTCCTCATCAGACAGCAAATCTGCCAGCGCTATGATCTTGGACTTCCCAGCCTCCAGAACTGTGAGAAATAAATGTCTGTTGTTTATACGTTATCTAGTGTATACTATTTTTGTTATAGCAGCCTGAATGGACTAAGACAGGGACTACGGCATAATCCTATTTGTGCTTCAAAAAATCACTCTGGTGACAATATGGCAGACAGATGGGAAGGGAAAGACAATGTGAAATTACTTGGAAAGTTCTAGAAATAGGCTGAGGGGAGAAATGCTGAGAGCCTGAATTAAGACAATGGCTCTAAGAATCTAGAGAAGAAAACAGATTCAATACTTAGTCAGCAGGTCCTATTCATTCTCTCTGTGAAACACCCCTACCACTTTAGTCAAATGTCCCCTATAGAATTTTGTTTTCTGCCAGTGTAGGCCGCAGTCCAGGATCATGAATTGAATTTGGTTGTTATGTCTCTTCAGCCTCCTTTAATCTGGAACAGTTTATCAGCTTTCCATTATCTTTCATGACACTGACAATTTTTTAAAAGTATAGATAGGTCAGTTCTTTTACGGACTGTTCCTTCATTTTGATTTGTCTGGTGCCTTCTCATGATTAGATTCAGGTTATGTCTTCCCAGCTGGAATAGCACGGAAGCGACTTCGTGTCCTTCACAAGGTCACATCTGGAGGCCACATGACGTCTCCTGCTGCTGGTTATGTCCATCTCCATCACGGGGTCAGGATGCTGTCTGGTTTCTCCACTGTATACTTTCTTCCCCCTCTGTGACCAATAAGCAATCTGGGAGGAAATACTTTCAGGCCATATAAATGTTCTCTTCAGCAGACTTTCCTCCCCGGATTGAACATTCTCTAGTGATTCTTATCCAGATTAGTCTTTCCCATGATGGTTGCAAAATGGCAATTTTTCCAGAACTCCATTTTTAACTGGGCTCATTACTGCCTGAAATAAGGGGTTATATATCCCAGTCCAGTTGTGGATTTGTGACTAAATTATCATAGAAGTGTTCTGTGGGGCCTCCAGTTAGTCTCTTTAAAAGCACAGGAATGCGGGGCTGGTCTCCTTTCCCTCCCCATTCCTTCGCACTGCCTGCAGCACAAACATCATAGCGGCGGGCCTGGCAGGCAAATTAGACCACCTTGGACCTTGCAAATGAAATCCTCAAACAGAAGATGAAAGAATAGAAAGATAGAAACGTGGGTCCCTGTTTTCCTCTCTGCTTCAAACTGCAGCTCTCCCCGCTTCAGCTCTGCCCATCGGCTGTGCTCTCTTTCCTTTCCCCTAAATAGCTGGCTAAATGTGCAGGTCGTATTTCTTCCCAAAGTGATACTACATGCTTTTAAACAAAGAGTAGGAATATAGTCAACATAAAGAAGTAAGAATTTGACCCGAAACACCAATCAGAAAGAACATATGCATCCCTATGTTCATAGCAGCAAAATTTACCATAGCTGAGATTTAGAAACAGCCCAAGTGCCCACCAGCAGATGAGTGGATTAAAAACTGTGGTACATTTACACAATGGAATACTAGGCAGCTGTAAAAAAAGAAAGAACTCCTACCATTTGCATGGATGGACCTGGAGAGTACTATGCTAAGCAAAATAATCCAGTCAGAGAAAGTTAAGTATCACATGATCTCACTCATATATGGAATCTAATAAAAAAAAAAATAAACTGACGAACAAAATAGATTCAGAGACATAGAAACATGGAACAGACTGTCAAATTTCAGAGGGAAGGTGGGGGTGGGGGAGAGAGATTAACTGGGGAACTTACATGCATATATACATAGCCCATGGACACAGACAATAGTGTGGTGAAGTCCTGGGGAGGGCGGGTACAGGATGAAGGGGGTCAATGGGGGGGAAAAAAAACAAACGACATCTGTAATACTTTCAACAATAAAGATAATTTTTTAAAAATAATAAAGCTAAAAAAATTAATTTGAAAGAAAAATAACTCACATGTTCCAGGTGCCCTCTTTTTCTTCATATTTTATTACATGTGGGTTGTTTCTTGCTCATACTCTCTAAACTATTATAATTGCTCTGCTTAACACAGTCTTGGGAATCCTGTAATAAAGCAGCCAATGTAATATTAACAAAATTTAGTAAATGGTGCACACAGACAACCTAAATTTCAACAAATGTCTGCCGTTGTATAATAATAAACACAGCAAAACTCTGCTCATTTTAGACTTAGTGGACAGAAAAATTTAAATAAATGAAAAATCTGAATTAGAGACTTTTAAAGAGCTAAAATTTTTTATTACTTTTGGATACCTAGAGTAACTTGAACTGCTAAGGGTGAAGGGCGGGGTGTCCTCAGAAACCCTATTTGCCTACTTTAGCAATAATAACACGTGGGTAGTTAGTAAGATCTACGTACATATAAATAGCAAACACACTTATCTCCTTTGAAAACATTTCTTCTTTTAACTACCACAACCAATCACTTCAAGGACTAATCTGGTCTTTTTAGATGGCACTGAGAGTTATTCTGTCCAAGAATGGTTTCATTGGAATTTGCATTTTATTTTAATCTCACTAATTAATGTTATGTCCCTGACAAAATAAAGAGTTAGAAAAGGTTACATTGAATTAAAATACTGTATGTGATTTCAACTGTGAGGGATAGATCAAACTTTGTACTAGGCTGTGGTAACCCTCAATCTATCACTTTTAATTTTTCATAAATAAGTAGGCGATAGTTTTGTTATAGTATTATCCATGTATGGGCCATGGAGTTAGAAAAACAAATCAGGATTATCCCGAGGACTGTATACTGAGAATTTGCGGATTTTGAAATACTTATACTGATGCCTCTCCTCCCCACAAAAGTCTAAGGATAAAGTAAGGAAAGAGCAAAGTGTCATGCAAAACCACAAGATTTAGAGTAAAACGGCTTTAGTTTTTATCTGAAGCACAAAGCACCGTGATTTGAATAAGTCAAATAACTTCTCTGAGCTCGTTTTCCAGCTATAAAATGATACTAGTAACACCAGAACTTTATTTTGAACATTAAATTCAATCATGCATGAGAAAACGTCTTGAAAAACTGTTTAGTACCATTCAAATGCTAGACTAAAACATGAAGAAACGTTTAATTTGCATTTTATTGTTTTTAAAATAGAACTGTTCTTGGCCTAGGAGAAAAATTTCCTCTAGCACTTGGCATCTTTTGAAAAACTAATAACAAATGCTTCCACCCATGGTTGACTCATAATTATTTCATACTTTTGTGAAAAGAACATGGTAGAAAGCAGTGGTTTTAGACAAATTGTAAAGTCACCCCGGCATTTGTGACAAGTTGTTGGTCAGGAAAGCATCCCTGTGTAGATGCAATGTGGTGTTTAAAGTGGTTTTTACTGAAACATTAACAACTTTTAGCTCTGTTGTTAAAAATGAATTTGCATTGTTGGTTTAACCCAGAGTACAGTTTTACAAAGATAAGTGAGTAACAGGATCCTGAGAGATGACAGAAAAATATTGAAGGGGAGACCCACCTTTAATATGTTTTTGTATTTGTACATATATGAAAACCAAAATAATGACTATTGACTAGACTAGATGGTGATAGGTGATAGCACCTAACAATTTGTTTATTGTTAGTAGGGACTGTAAGTGCTGAACGGCGAATAACAAAGAGGAAGAGTAAACATGTAATAACACAGCACCTATCAGAGCTCAGAAATTTAGAAATTTCACTCTGGTTGAAATGCCAGTCACTTCCTCCCTGCCAAACTCTCCTGAGAGCGCTGCCTGCAGGCCGGAAGGGTGTTCCTTCAGGAGTGGGGGCCCGGCACTGCTCTCTGACCATCTCATTTGATCAGGGGCAGACAGACACACGGCTCAAAACGGGTCAATCGTATTCTCGGACACAGAGAGGCTGAATCGGAAGGTGTTGGCATTACAGATGTGAGGTCATGAAGAGTTGCCAAAATCAGCAGCATGGCAGCCCCAAAGCCATGTGCAAGGCAGTGTTAGGAGGAAAAGGAAACTAAAAACCTGACAGAGAAGCAGAATAGTCTGCAGAGAGGAATGTGCAGCAGATGTGAAACAAGGACAAGGTGAGGTTAGGAAACCAGGAAACTCCAGGGAGAGAGAGAAAGATGGAGAGACAGCATCGAGGAGAGGGAGGCTGTCTTGCATGCTTACTTTCTTTGGTTGAGTTCTGCGTAATGTCTTAAAATAAATCTTGTTTCCTTTACGCTGCTGGCTCGTGGGTTATGGTTCCTCAGAACCAAGGGATACTTTAGGAAAACCCTCACTGACTGGACTGGAACCAAACGTAAGAAAGTAAGCAAGAAAGACATCTGCACAGTCAAAGTGCATTTCCAAACACTATATCGTAAAGCTCATGTGACACTAAAACGCTCTCATTGCTTATTTAATTTTTATCACAGCTATACTGAGATAGTCGCACGCTATAAAATTCAGCCTTCCTGTTACCTGTTTACTTTTACTTTTTTTAGCCCCACCAAGCTAGTGGATCTAGTGCCCTGTCTACAAGTAGCCTTAATGACAAAGAGAGAATGGCTAGAAGCAAGCCAACTACAGCAATAAAAAGTGATGGTTGACAGCCTAGCAGCAAAGGAAGAAACAGAAAAACTAAAAATAGGACAACAATAATTCCAAGGGGGGGGGGGGGAGGGAGGCCGGGGAAAAGAGCAATCTGGGGCCATGTAGAGTATTTTTGTTAGGCTCTTTTTGTTCCGAGGAACAGCTCAAGTTACATCTAATATTAGGGGAAGGAGTTCCAAGGAATTAAAAAAAACACACACACAAGGATCTCAGCCCCACAGGGCCTCGTGGGAACCACGAAAGGCCAAATCACCAAGCCTCTGGAAGAACAGGCGTCTAGTGGAGCCAGACCTGAGGAAGACTGGACCCAGGACGCCAACAAGAATCCACATTACCCGGGACTTCAGCATCGGGAGTTCGTGCATCCTCACCTACTGATGAACTAGTTCATTTACGTGATTCAGCTCTCCTCTGGCTGCGCCCAGGGGTCTTTCAGCCTCTCTGCCTGCCCCCATCTGGCTTCCTCATCCTCTCTTTGGAATTTGTAAACTGCCAGCTCTTGTCGCAAGCAGCAGACTCAGTTTTGTTGTTTGTTGGCACAGCACGGTGCTTTCCTATTGTCAGGAATGCCAAAGTCTTTGGGTGGGCCTGAATGTGGCAGTCCCCTCATTGCCACCTGCCCTTATCTTGGCCACGCCCCCTGCACTCATCTCCATAGCCAGCTGGGTACTCTCCCCACCTCACAGCCCCTGCTCAGGACTGCTATCTGCTTCCTGTCACTTTTGCTTGCTCTGCCTCATGGGCTCTCTCTATACACTCCTTTAGCTCCCATTGCAAACCAGTACTTCCCAGGGCAAACCCCCCGAAGGGAGAATCTGGACCACTGTGCCCATTTTTAGCTAAATTTTGCCCACTGGTTCATATAGTAGACTGCTGGCCGGTCCAGAACAGGGCTGCTGAGGTCAGGGGCCTTCTTCGCATCATCTGCTGTGGCTGAGATGCCTCAAGTTTGCTTAGATCAGAACACAGCTGTTGGGCCAATGCCTCAGCAGGGACTATTATCAGCCAGTCACCTGTAGGAGGGGCTTCGGGGGAGACAGACACCGCAATTGTCCAGTGCGTGGATCAGAGTGACCTAACTCTAAACCTTAAAAAGCCTGAGAGTGTCAGGCTCCATCTAGCCTCCCCCCAAATTAATGTCTATGATGCTAACAGGGAGGCTTTAAGTAAAAGTTAAATTGTGTTCAGTGTCCTTGAAGGAAGCAGTGATGTCTACAGGATACTTTGAAATAATTTCCACTGAAGATTATAAAACTTAAGATAATGGAAAATATTTAATGTGTACTTGGATATTTGAGAAACCTTTGATTTTCAAAAAATCCAATTTTCCTTTGAACTAAGAATTAGCCCTGGTAAGTTGTTAAGAACAGAAGCCCCGAACGTCTTCTAATCCTGGTTCTGCCACTTACCAGCTAGCAAATTCTTTAGCAATGCAGTGCCTCAATCTCCTCATTTAGAAAACGAGGGTAATACCAGCAGCTATCTTGTAGGGTTGTCAGATTAAATGAATCAATCCAGATAGAACCTTTAGATTGAGTATCTGGTGCACAGTTAGTGCTAAAAGTTGTTCATCATTATTATTACTGCTGCTGTCGTTTTGTTCTTATATAAAAAGGGAGCTACGTACTGATACATTAGTAAAACTTTTATAATGGTTAAGGTTTTCCAATCTGTACATATTTATTCTCTTTTCTTGGACATTTTGTTCTCACTTTGCCACACAAATAACGTATTGCATTTCCATATGAAACAGGCTGCTTTAATCACCCTGCTGTACTGTGTAACAGCAGTGCTCTGTTTGGGGGTGTCTGAGTTTATTTTAGCCCTAGTCTGGTCTGTCTGCCCATGAGCTTATCTAGAGCCTAGACTGGAAGGCAGCGCAGGCACGGCAATCTTCAGAGCAGGCTCCACTGCAGACAGTTGTCAATTTGAAAGCAAACACCTTTGAAAAACAACAAAGGCTCTCGCTGATGCCAAAGGATTTATCTAAAGACTGCCTCTCTTTGGAGTCTCTGGCCAGTTCTAGGATGACTTCCTGCCTGGAAACAAGACAGAATAGTGCCGGAATGCGTGCATGCCAAAGGGGCTGGGGCTCAAAAGGAGAAAGACTTGGTAGTGAAGCCATCAGAACCAGCTAGGGAGCTTATAAAAATATATCAATGCCGGTCCCACCTTGGGCCAGCTAAATTCTAAACCTCAGCTGTGGGGAGGGGCACGGGGAGAACAAACAGCCATATTTTTAAAGTTCCCTCAATGCTCCCCCCAAAAGCTCCCCACTGTTCTAGGGCTTCCTCTAATTTGCTTCTGCCACTGGGCAGGGCCTCCTCAGAAGTCAGGTGTCCAGGCAGGAACAGAAGAAAGGAGAAAAGAAGACACTGCCCAAGAAGCTGCTCATCACAGCAGCCTCCTCACCAGTCAGCCAGGCCTTACCTTCTGCTTAGCAATCAGCAGAAACCGAGTGGGAAGAGAAAAGAAGGTTCTGATTAGTG